CCCCCGCCCCCCGCGTCTCCGGTCCTGTCCTGCAGCTCAGCGGCCCAGGGGCGCGCACATCGTTTTGTGGTGATGCGCAGCCGTCCTCGGGCACGCGCCCACCGCACCCCAGCAGACAAGGCTCCCCACCCCGCGGACACTTCCTCTTGGCACGCAGTCTCCCGGGCCGCCAACAACTCCCCACGTGCACATGCCCCTCCCCACCGCGGGCCCCGCCCTGGGACCCCAGGAGGGCCCTGCGCGCCAGAGTCGCTGCTCCGAGGCTTCCCGCAGCCTTACTCAAACTTCTAATTATGATTCATGCGTGTGATAATAATAATTTAATAATCAGGGAGCCTCGCAGGAGGCATTAACCTCAATTAAGCTCATTACGCCGCCTGACTGCGCCCCCCACATGCCCTCCTGACCCGCGGCCGCAGGCCCCGTGAGTGTGGTAGGGCCGCTGGGTGCCTACGACTTCTGTGCATTCACTTACCGAGCGCCTCCTATGTACCCAGCCTTCGCACCCTCCCCGCACCCTCAGACCCCGCTGGACGCTCCCTACCCACCCCACCCCTTCCTCCCAGCACCCACCCAGCTCCCTGCTTGCTCTCCTCTGGGCCAGAAAGGGCACCTTCTCACCTCCCTGACCTTCACCCCCCACCCGCTCTCCCTCAGGTGGTGTCGGGTGGGTGGTCTCCGCCTGCCCTCCCTGGTGGCTGGGTGACTGCCCAGGCTCCTCGAGGGCAGAACTGCCCATTTTGCTCTCTGCTGCCTCCAGACCCAGCCAGGACTCACCCTGTCAGGCCTGTGGTGGGGAGTGCAGAAGCATGGGCATACGGGAGGGACACACTGTGACTGTGGTGGCTGAGCCAGCCGGTGGACAGGTGGAGTTCTGGTCACAGAGGGAGAAATGGATGGGAGAGCCACGTGAGCCGGGAACCGAACAGACAAGTGGGTGGGTGCTGACAAGACCACGTTTTCTCAGACCTGCTGCGTGGACTGTATCAGTCAGGGTTCTGCTGCAATCCCACTGTGTAACAAATGGCCCCAAAGCTCTCAGTGGTCCACAGCAATGGTCATTCCTTTCCTGTTGGCAGACCAGGATCAGCTGCCAATTGGCACCCCCTCCCATGCCGGATTCATCAGGTGGGGTTCAGGCAGCCTCCACACCTTCATTCCCATTCCCAGCTGACGGACCATCAGCGCCCTGAAGCAGGTGCTGATGGAAGAGATTGGAAGCTGCAAGGGGCAGAAACTCAGAGGCCCCTGAAGGCCTGGTCACTCCTGCCCGTGCAGGTCACGTGGCCAAGCCCAGCTTCAGCAGGTGGGAAGCATCCTTTCCCCGTTGGAAGGCCTTGGCGGGGAGGGACAATGAAGGGAAGGGAAAGCTGGGGCTAAATTATCCAGTCAATGACATTTCTGATTTAACTGGAGCTTTTCCAGTTGCATGGGGCTGGGGGTAGGGGAGACGCATTACTGTAAATGTCCACACACGCACTCGGCACAGTAGGGGTGGTGATTCCTCCCTGTGTGAAGACTCCCCAGGTCTGTCTCCTGACCACTGACCCCCGGGGAGGCCCGAGCAGAGCCAGCGGCAGCGATTCAGGCGCCGGGGATTCACTGAGGCAGGAGAAATCCAGGAGGCAGTTCAGGAAAGGCAGGGACAGAACAGAGCAAGGATGCCCTCTTGTAGCCCTGCCCCTGGAGGAAGGGTGGTCCCCGGGGACAGGCACCGCCTGTTAGCCAGGGCCGGTTCTCCCAAGCAGCTCATGGTGTGAGCTTGACCCACCACACTCAGCAGCTAGAACTGGGGGTCTGGGCAGGGCACCACCTGCACCCACTGCACCAGGCAGAAAACTGATCAGTGCCAGGTCACACCTTCAGTGGAGGACAGAGCCAAGGTGGCTAGGGCAGGACAGACAGACCAGGGAGTCCGAGCGCTACGGGGGCGGCCGTGCAATGCTCGGCCGCAGGCTCCGCCCCCCACGTCGCTCCTCCGATCTTCGTCATCAGCGCAGCGTGAACGTGCTTTTGCATTCTGCATCCTGCATCTGCTTTGATGGGGGACACGGAGTTGGTGAGACACACACATAATGTCCAAGAGCCCCCAGTCTGAGGCCAGGGCCAAAAGTGAACACATAAAGGTCTCACGACATGTTAAGACATGACGGAGTGAAGCTCGGGGTTTGCATGGGCACCCAGGATGGCGCCTCCCTCCATGTGGTGCTGCCACTAAGGTGAGTAGGAAGGATCTGTGTAGACAACAGCCAAGGGCACCGCCAACGGAGGCACTCGGCAGCCAGACCGTCCAGGCTCATCAGGAGCTCTGGGCACAGGATGCAGACTTTGGAGCCAGGCAGCACATCCCACAGGACCCAGTCAGGAAGGCCTTGATGCCAGGCTGCCGAGCCCAGAGTCAGCCCTGGGCCATGGCAGCCTTAAGGAGCTTCTGGAAGAGGAGGAGTATGACTGGACTTGTGTTTTAGAATGATGGGGATAGACTGCAGGGCTGGGCTGTGGCAGGGGCAGCAGAGGCGGTCACCAGCAGAAGATCCTGATACCCAGGGCCAAAGGCACCCCAGACCCTCCACTCGGGAGGGTCTTCTCACCATTCACCTTCAGACAGAGGGGTCTTGGGCATTTCCCTGGGGGGAAAAAAAAGTCCATAGAAACCCCAAATAACTCTAGTGACCACTGACAGTGAAAACGCCTAAGCTTGGAGCTCTGGACCCTGAGGGACAGGAGGGAAGGTGGCCATGCTGGGCAGGGTCAAACCTGGACCTCTGCTGCCCCTCAGAGAGGAACAGTGACAGGCAAAGAGGCTGGAGAGGACAGAGGCCACAAGGGGGACAAGGAGAGACCAGGCCTGCAGAGGCAGGGACCTCCCCCCACCACAGCGGGCAGCCCACCTGAGCTGTCTTCCCTGTGGCACCTGTGTGTGCACGTTAAAGATGCTGGCACCGGAAGGACGCAGCATTCACATCAAAGCTCCAGCACGTGCCGGCTGGATGATCGCGGGCACGTCACCCATCCTCCAGCCTCAGTTTGCTCGTCTGCAAGGTGGTGACTGCCACCCCTGGCCTGCCCTCTGGTCAAGAAGCCTGTCGGAGCCAGGCTGCCCTCTGAGGCCGGGAGAGGGAGCTGGCCGCTGCCTCTATAGCCCAGGTGCCGAAGCCAGGTGCCCCTGCCTCCACACCAGCACCCTTGGTCCCCCACAGCCTGAAACCACTCCCAGTTGTTGAGTTTTGTTTGTTTTTGATCTTTTTTTTTTTAATTTATTGTATTTTTGGCTGCATTGGGTCTTCATTGCTGCACGCAGGCTTGGGCGAGGGGGGGCTGCTCTTCGTTGCGGTGCGCGGGCTTCTCATTGCGGCGGCTTCTCTTGTTGCGGAGCACGGGCTCTAGGCGCGCGGGCCTCAGCAGCTGTGGCACACAGGTTCAGTAGTTGTGGCTCGCAGGCTCTAGAGCGCAGGCTCAGCAGTTGTGGCACACGGGCCTACTTGCTCCACGGCATCTTCCCGGACCAGGGCTCGAAGCCGTGTCCCCTGCAGTGGCAGGCGGATTCTTAAGCACTGCGCCACCAGGGAAGCCCTGTTTGAAGGGTTTAAACCTCACCTTTGTATCTGATTCCTTGCCTCCAACCAGGCCCAGCGCTACACGCTGTTTATCTCTGAACTCATGCAGCTTACAAGCAGGCGGATTCAAACCCAGGCAGTGAAAACCCCTGCCCTTTGGTAGGTCGTGGTTTGGCCTTGGTGAATGGGCTGCTGACAGCGCGTTGACGGTGCCGGGAGGCGAAGGCGCCTGGGGCCTGGGGCGCTGTCCGCGGTGTTGAACACGGGCTCCGCGCGCGCTGCCCAGGGTTCTGAAGACGCCCCGACGCCCCGGCTGCACGGGGCTGGGGCCCTCTTGTCCCCAGATCTGCAGCCAGTAGCCCGTATTCTCTCCCTTCTCTGGTGTTCTGAGTGTGGGGTACCCTTTCTCAAGTAGTCAGGAGACCCCAGGAGAGGTATACCTTAGAGAAGATGAGGAAACAAATAAGCAGAAAGTTCCCCTTTCACTTGCCAAACTCCAGGTGAGAAAGCGGTTGTGTGGGTCGTTTGGGGGTGGACAGGCAAGAGGAGGGAGCATGCGGGCTTCTGTCTCCAGGCTCTGCCTCCACCTTCTGCCCCCTCCCACACGTGAACAGGACAGTAGCCCGTTCAGAGAGAGCACAGCGTCAGCCGCGGGACCCAGGCGGACTGGAGGAGCCGAGGCCTTAATTTGCAGAGGGGGTGGTAACCCCTGCCCTGCGTATTTCACAGCGATGTTGAGAGGACCCTGGGCGGTCTGGAGTGGGGTGAGCTTTGCATGAATCTAACGTCATTCAAATTGGGGGTTACTTATCCAGGCGCCCTGGGGACACCTAAGCACTGCTGCCTTTCCAGGTGCAAGATGAGAAGGGAGGCCCCTCACCCCACCACCATGTCCAATGAAGGCTGTAATCTTGTCGCCCTTCGACCTTCGAGCGGAGGATATGGGGACCTTAGAGGTCATATGGAATCCAACGCCCATAATTCACAGATGAAAAATGGAGGAGGGGGTTCACAGACACATGGTGAGTTAATGGCAGAGGTGCTGGGATCTCCCTCCTGCTCCAGAACCTCCCCAAGCTCCGTTGCTGAGGAGAGGATACTGGCGACGGGCTGAAAAGATTGAGTGACCCGCTCCCCCCCTTCCCTCCGCTTCCAACACCTCCCTTCCCTCCCGTCTTCTGCACAATCTCAGCCCCCACTCACTCATGTTCCCGGGTCCACTTTGAAGGCCTTTTATCACCAGTCTCTCCCCAGACTTCTACCCTTGTCCATGTCGGTTCCTGCCTTGACACCCTCCCCCTGCCAGCCCGCCAATGACCCCATCTGGCCCTGACTGATGTGCAGTGTGTGTGGGCTTAGCAGCGAAGGCGGTTTCCTGTCCACTGGGTGGGTGGAGGCATCCCCAACTTAAGCACTGATTTCACCTGTCATTGCCCACCTGGGGCCCCACAGGCGAAGCTGGTGGCTTGGAGATAACCTGATATGGCAGATGGGCAGAGATTGCACAAATGACGGTCTAATTGACAATCAATTGTGATTAGGAGCAAAAGGACGTCTTTATAGACCCAGATGCTCTAGGTTGAAGTCGGGGAGATGGGAGGTTGTTTCCAGGTATCTGGGAGAGGAGGAGGGGTGTGTGCATCTCCACGACAGGTTGCTCCTTAGAGATGGGAGAGGGGTGGGGCAGTAGACGATGCCGCGATCTTCCTGACCCTCGTCCATGCACAGCACCCCACTCCCCATGGGGAAGCGCCCCGAGGTCTCCTGTGTGGCTCCGGAGGCCCCCCTCACACCCCACTACCCTGCCCCCGCTCCAGACTGCAGACTGCAGACTTTGCAATTCATTCCCTGCATGCCAAGCTCCCGGTAGAATGTTTAGGGGAGAGAGGAAAGGGGAGGGAAGGACCTGCAAACTCCGGAACAGGCACAGCGCTTTCATCCAAGTAGCACTCAGCCCTGATCAGCCCGCACCTCTCGGCAGGGAGAGCGCTTTGCTGTGCTGAGTGTGGGCATGTGCTCTGGAGGGGCGCAGTGTGGTTGTATATTACAGTATAGTATCCATTATGCTTATTACATATCGTACTTAACATCGTATTCTACTTACTATGCTTTAGTGGTAACCACCATACATTACACTACACCCACATTATACAAAACGTCATTTCATGTGTGTTTGTGCTCACGTTGAATGAAAGTTGTACCAAGAGAGCTCACGTTTCTCTTCCTCACGTGTGCGTATAACGGGGGAGAGAGCAGACCCCTGCCCGCCCCCAGCGCGCCCAGCAAGGTGTAGCGGTTTGGACTGCTGCGCACCCAGCAAGGTGTGGCGGTTTGGACTGCTGCGTTTGTGCCTCGCCTGGTGACCTGCGGAGGGACAGGCATGGAGCGTGAGCATGCCTTTGAGGGGCTTGTGACACCATGTCACACTCAGACTCGGCCACCCAGAGCCAGGTCAGGGCCCAGCCCTTGGGACTTGGCCCCTTAGGGTGCCTAGTAGCTGTGCCTCATGCGGGATCAGGCAGCAGCTCAGGGGACAGGGGACCTTGTGTGCCCCTCCTCCAAGACCAGCCCGGAGCTGATGGGTGCATTTGGGAGCCACAAGCTCCACACGGTGTGCCCGGGTGCTCATGAATGGATTTGCGCTCGTGTGTGCCGCGTGCTGGAGAATGCGTGTGTTTGTGTGTGTGAGTGCGTGTGAATGCGTGTGCACATCTATATTCAAACTTTGCTGGGGGAGGGGTGGAGAGAGCCTAAGAGTCCCTCCAGGAAGGTGGGGGTGGGAAGGAGATAATTACCTCTCTGTGATGAGAGATTATCCACCCTCCTTCCCCCAGAGGTGATTTATAATTTAAAGATAAAGAATAATCAAGTCCTGGCAAGAAAGGACACAGTGTTGTGGGTCTGATTAGAATCTCAGGACCGACCAGCACGCGGGGGAGGGGACCGGCTGGGG